CTTCACTTGGGTATTGCTCCCCCTAGTCTTGTGCTAAGAATCAATGAACGAAACCCTGGTGTTAAGGATGTGTTTAAATACAGTGAGGTGGGTGCAACAAGCTAGGGACAAGCCCTTTTAGTCGATCAATTAAGGATTGCTACAATAAGCTACGAAACCTAGCTCTCTTAACCTTTCGGCTAAGGATTGCAACAATAAGCTAGGAGGCCTAACTCTCTTAATCGAATTAACTGAGGAAACCCTAACTCTCTTAGTCGACCAATTAAGGATTGTTGCATTAAGTTAGTAGACTAATTCTCTTAACCTTTAGGCTAAGGATGACAACAATAGGCTAGGGAATATAGCCCTCTTAACTAATCAACTAAGGATTGCAAGGCCCAACCCTCGGAAGTTACCCCAGACGGCGAAGAGCTACCAATCATGATGGGATCATGATACTACTCCGATACTTAAGGTTTTGGCCCTAGATTAACCCAAAAGGGGTTACCCAAGTGCCTAGGAGATCAAGCTCCCTATGGGCCAAAGGTGGATTTCCACATTCTAGGTTAATTTGACCCAATAATGAGATAATGCAAGCAACACACAACCATTCATGATTAATACCTCAAATATTATATAAAACACACAATCAACACAATAGAATCATATTCTTACATCCTAACACTCATCTATACTAGAATTCACAATACCCAAGTGAGTATATGGGCCATTGCATATCTAGGCAAAGGAAATCAACAAAAAGGAGGGAAAGAACAATGAAAAGATGAGTTTTTTCCTTCCTTGTTGCTTTAATCTCCCTTGAGAAGAAGAAACCTTCAATCCTCTAGGTTAGGGTAAGCCCAAATCTCCTTCCTCCTTCTTTGAATGACCCTTTCTCTCTCTAGAATAGGAAGAAGAAACGCTAAACTCTCACTAGAAATCCTCCTTTATTCGGAAAACTAAAACCCTAGAAGAGCTTCCTTTCTCCTTCAGCTCACTTCCCCTTTTATACCCAGGTCGGGCTCAAATCACGGTCTCAGTTCGCGGCCTTAAACTCAAGGCTGGGATCGTGATCTCAGGCAGATTCGCATCGTTTCACTAAGTCACTTCACAGTCTAGGGCTTGAGTTCACGGTCTTACGACCGTGAACTTACTTGAGTCTAGTGAGACCGAAAACTGCTCTGGAACCTCCGCACTTCACGGTCTCGGGGCAACTGTCACGGTCTAGACCTTCCCACACGTGTTAGGACCTAAAATGTAACAAAACAAGCACAACCTAGCATAAAATAGGTCAAGATACGATGAAATGCACAGTCAAACTATCAAGATATGAGGGGTAAAATGTGTGCATTTAGACCCAAATCACTCCCCCACACTTACACGTTTGCTTGTCCCCAAGCATACCAATTCCAAACAAGGTAATATCTCAACCTAACAAGATAACTTGGGGACATATCAAAGGGCTCAAAGTGGGTGAATCCTCAATGGCTATTGGACCTCAACACATGAATCGTTACAAGCAATACCGGCATCCACCACAAACGACATTCGAATGCATTAAGAACGTGCAAAAGAAAAGTCCTAACCTTGTTCACAAATCAATACAAGCCTTGACCGGACTACTCACTAACCACAACTAACCATGCATAGAACTCAAGTCCAAGGAACAAACGAATGGGCAACATAGGTCCTCATCAGGATAAGATATGAACATGCATAATGTGAATGAATCACTCACTCTCGACCAGTGGGGTTCGGGCCTTTTTGGTGCAAAGGATGTGCACAATCATCAACTCTCAACCCTATCATCTCTCCACCATGGCGGAAAACTCTGAATGCTAGAGTTCACAAGATGGTTGTCGTCACTAGCTTGTCCGGAGGTCTTAGACACGGGTTCAAATGACTGGCAAGGGTCTTAGACATGGGGAAAATGCCTTTTGGGTGGTGGCAAGCAAAGCATGAGGTTCTAAATCTTCAATCTAAAACCAAAGGTTCAAATGTTTCGTCTAGAACCTTTCCTACAAACAAAGGCCACTAGCATCGGCCAAAAAACCACACTTCCCTTATTCCAAACCACTATCAATCATGAACTACATTCAAGCACACTTCCTCGGTCTATTCTTGCTATCCTCAATTCCATCGTAATAGTGAAGGAGGTCATCAAACAATTTAGGTGTTTCAATGGTTTGAGTGCCAAGAAACCCTTTCTAGAGCATATAGTAGACTTTTGTGGCAACTCTCTACTTTTATTTACCACGTTTTATTACCTTTTTCGTTTCTTTTCTTTCTACTTTCCTTTTCTTTCTTTCTTTCTCTCTTCTTCTTCTTTTTTCTTTTTCTTTTCGAGGGGGGGGGGGGTACTAGAGAGTAAAATACATGCCACTTAACATTTAACGAACGATGCTCTCGATTAAGAACTTCCTCCAACACTACCTCTTCATTTCTAGCAAGAACCGTGAAAAATCTTCCTATATAGAACCTCAATGGATCTCAAGAGTGAGAGCTCCGAGACACAAGGACGACTCACGTTTTGACACGAAGAAAGGACGAGGGTCGTTCTATCAATCACCATTAAGCTGAACAAGCACGAAACTCCTAACATTAGAATGACCCCTAAAGTCACACGACTCAAAGGGGTTGACTAAGGGGTAAAATATTTTGGGACAATCAACTTTTGGGCGTGGACTACTCCTATGCCTCCATCATACTCACTAGTGACAACAGTGAATGTTATAAACCATGGCGAGAGGGATCTATCACACATGAAAAAGACGATCGACACAAAACTCACATGGATACCTAGCTACCCAATCATCTATTCCAATTCACAAAATTCAATTCATGGCAATTGTAATCAAGGAGTAATCAAGTCAAGACATCGATTCATTTCCGCACACATGAGAACTAAACATTTGCACTATCCTAATGCATATCTCAGTCATCATAATAGGGCACACTCGACCACAAGTAAACAATTCAATGTCCAAGCCAATAAACACGAAATTCTCCCACACCCCCGCCACTTTGATCATGCAATGCTTGGAGCCCTCAAATTTTTAAATTTTGGGCATACATCTAGGCTCCAAGCGCACAATCACACACACAAGCATAATAGATAGACTATCCCCCACACTTAAGCTCGACATTGCACTCAATGGCGTAAAATAAGGGGTTGAACGATGTTACCGCATAGCTTGGCGAGTGAAAGTCGGGACCGAATTGGGCCGGAGATGAAGAGGAGAGAGCTTCAAGGAGACCAAAAACAAAGACAAACACACACATGCTCGCGCAAGGCGAGGTTATTTATTACACAATTATAGTATTTAATATAAAAACACACACAAATCTATGTTGGGTTGCCTCCCAACAAGCGCTACTTTAACGTCATAAGCTAGACATTTGCTTCTTAAACTTCGGTCCATCCGAGAACCTTCTTGAAGTTGAGGTTCTCATCGGTGAGATGAAGTATCAAGCCACGAGCATTGGACGAATCCATGATTGAGAGCTCGTGAACTTGAACGGCTTTGAGGCTCCACCCACGAGACCTCTTCTTCTTCTTTCTCTTTGCCCCACACCATGTAGTCCATCATTGATTGACTTCCATCGCATCCGCCAAGAGGGATCGCAGATGGTTTGGCCTTGGCTTGGCAAAGAGCAACAAATGGGTCCTTCTCAAAAGTGCATCGATGTCGGGTGGAAAGCTTTGGTAGCTCTTGTAACTTGTGGATGCTTCATCCACAATGACCTCGTCCTTATCTTGGACCTCACTTGCTCCTTCTACTTCTACTTCTTCCTCAACCTCCCTTCCTTCTTTTTCACTTTGTTCCTCCCCTTGGGAACAATCAAGATCTTCCTCCTCTTCAATGCTCACTAACTCATCCACAACTTTCCTTCTCGCCTTTTCTCGCTCCTCCTCAAGCACACAATGGAGGGCAAGTTTCCAAGCAATTTCTTCAATATGATCCTCTTGCATCTCCTACTTTGTGCACAACTCTTCAAAGCTCGAAGTGAAAGACGATACCCTAGCTTACTTCCCACCTAGTTGTTAATTAGTTAATCGGGTTTTAAGGTTTTGAGTGGAGGATATGAGAGAACTCTAGTCTAAGAATTGATCAAAGCTAAAAGTAGGTACTTCGAGGACTAATCCTCCCCCTAGCTAAGGATCACTATGCATATATAAATATCTAGGGTCGTCAAATGTGGTGAGTGAGCTCTTTTCTATGGGCCTTTGTCGTTATCCACATGCCTCCGAGTACGCCTTCCCTAAACCCATGTTTCAGTCACCTCGATCTAGACTATCGTATGTGGGGCATTAAGTATATGGCTCATTTCAATGAAACTATCCACCGTCCACAACGAGGTTTTATCTCGAGTTTCACTTAGGAAAGCCACATATAGCAAAGGTACGGTCGCCTCAACCACTATATGCCCCCATCCACACATCTAACTTAAACTCGCCAGGTTGCACATACCTGTCTAACCCTAGAACTCCGTACCCAGACGGTAGCATAAAGCAGACTAAGAGGGAAGATTGGGAAATGTTGCCCAAGCGTCATTAGTTAGGAAAGAGTTGCATTAAAATCAACTAGGCAAACACATTCATTCATTCAACCCTAAAACATCTACTCCAAAGATCGAAGTATCCTTGCTTTCGGTCCATTTGGTCTGGTTCGGTCTGTTCCAAATCTCTGTTCGATCCATCATTTCTTCAGCAATTATAAAATTCATGTGAACCAAGTATCGAACTGCATTATACTCAGTTCAATTTGATCGATCTTAATATTAATTTGGTCCAATACAAACAGACCGGATCATTGCACACCTACCCGCTACCACCAATCAATGACACAATCCTCGGGGGATATCATAAATTAAAGGCCCAATACTCTGCATTGACCCATGTTTAGCTATTTATCTTACTGTGGGCCTCTTCTACACTGGAAGAAGAAGGCGCTTCTTGTGCCGAAAGTAATTTGGCCCATTTATTAGTTGGGCCAATTAGCTCCGTTCGGGAGAAAGAAGACGGAGATTTTCGTTTCCAGAATCCAATGTCTAGAGACTTCTTCGAGTTCGAGAGACAACCGGAGGAGCAAACCCCTAAACGCTGATTTCCAATCGATCTCTCTCCGACGAGTTGGTCCCGGAGGAAGGAGGCTTCGAATCGTCTTTCTTGTAGGTTTTCCATTTCCTTTTCTCTTCGGTTTTGGCTGATTCGATTAACTTTAGAAGTTGAGTAGTTCTTGTAAAAATCCATACCTTGAACTGTCGAAGGATTCCTTCAGTAATGAACGCGTTCTTGAGCGAGATTCTATGCTACCGCATTTTCCCTTAGTTGTTTCTGTTCATTGGTTGGGTAATATGAATAACTATTTCTGGGATTGTTGCAGCACGAGTGAAGTTCATGATTTTTTTTCCAATTGAGTTCTGGCAGCTGAAGCCTTGCAGTTTTGTAGAGTATTTGTTATGCATTTGCAGTAAAGATTGATTGTGCCAAATTCGGGTATCATCAGTTAAGGGGATGCTTAATCCCTTCACTGATTCATTCCTTTTGGAACGTTTGGGCGTTATGATGGGATACAATATCTGTGAAGTAGTCTCAAAGTATTTTGGTTGAGAGTTTAGATAGGTTTCGATGTAGTTAGTTGTCAGTTAATTACTTGATTTCCTCAATTTCCTATTTTCTAGTATTATTTAGAGTTAGAGTAGGATTAAGCTATGTTCGTCATGAGAAGGGGTTTGTAATCCCATTTCTATTGTGGGTTGTTTCGTAGTTCTAGCAACGATGTTGTTCGGGTACGTTCCATTTCCTGTACATGGGGTAAGGGTTGGGTAAAGAATGGTAAGGAAGAAATTAAACAGATGTGTGTTGTTGTTCTCACGCTGACAGAACCCTTGTGGTGGTAGTGTGGAAATAATGTAAAATAGTTGGTTTAGTCAAAACTCTGACTGAGATTTATCATGTTGCTAGCCCATTATTATCATCTGCCCACAGGGCAGAGTTTAGTTTTTATATGCTGCCTTGGATGACCTGCTGAAAAATCCTATTTTTCCTGATCTTTAAATTGGGCCAGCTGGTGTTTCACTGTGACTGTTGATGTTCAAGCTGGTCTGATTTCTTGAGGCATGCTGAAGTAACTGCACTCTTTTTTGGGTTGTTGTAGTTTGTACATTGCGGCGAAAATGGGTCGAAAAGCTGGCCAACTATACATAAACCCCAAGAAGTTTGGCTCCATGGCGAAACCATGCATGACCAACATGATATCCTTGCTTAACTGCTTGTCTATGAACCAGATGAAAGATGGCAATTGCGTCAAGGAAAAGGAGTTGCTTAGTGCTTGCTTGGATGCACAGGTGAATGTCACTTCGGTTATAATTTGTTTCTGAAATGATCTCACTATATCTGTTTATACCAATCTTTCAGAATGTTGAAAGTACAGCATGCTTCATCTTTTGCAACTTAATCTGCCAATTCACATGCTGTTCCTGACGTTTTATTCTAAACTCTATCGTGCAGAATAGCAAAAACAATTCCTGGGGAAGTATCAACTACCACCTGCAGAGGCTGAGCAAGGGAAGGAAGTGAAGTTTTGGCTTGTTCTTATAGTTCATCAGTTATGGAGAGTATTAGCGTGGGAAGGAAATTCTTCTGTCCTGGTCACGTCCCACCCAACTCTTGCTCTTATAATCGACATTTGCATTCTGTTGTACCGTAATGCCAAATTTTGAACATAAACTTCTGTTTCATGGTTATATCCCTCCCTAGCTAGGCATCATATTTATTGGAGCTGAATCTTTCCATGATTTGAGTTCCAAATAACTTCTTAGTTTTCAGGAATTGAATCGCTCACACGATCGAATGTGGTGTGCTTTTCTGTCTCTCTGTCTGTGCCAGTGACTACACTCAGAAGCCTGTCCTGATAAATGAAACAAGTTTCTTTCTTAATGGTGATTGTTGATGGGTTCTTTTCTTTGTGATTTGGGGATTTCTTGTTCCCTTTGGGAATTAGGATGGTTTTAACTTTTCGTACCATTAGAACCAGATTTCCATTCTGGGGATGCCTAATCTCATGCGTTGGCAGGAAGCAATGGCTTTGACACGAAAAAGGCATATACTTCGCAGTGAAGCATGACGATTATGATTCTGAAATTTGTCGCGATTTAGGCAAGCAGCTTTTAGTTTAGCAACCAAACTAACATCTGGCCCTTTGCGAATTGCTCTATGTACCTTTGCGATTATTAGATGTTTGGCTAGTCTATTGGCCCATGTGAAATATTATTTAGATCTTTGAATCTAGTTTGATTAAGAATACATATTTAGAGATGCTATTTGGCTTCATGTGTTTATTTAGATGCTATTTCAACTTTTGATTCTATGCTAGTGTTAGGGATGATAATGGGTCGAATAATTGGGTCGGTTTTCTTTAACCGCAAATCCTATCCAACCTGGTGCATCTATTGAAAAATTGATAAAATATTCATTGGGTTTTAGAAGAGCAAATTCAACCCAACCCAATAGGTATCCATGATTTCTCAAACATAACTATGTATTATTTCTCTGAACACCCATATTGTAATTCCATCGAAAATTTTCTTACAAATATATATGTACAAGACTAATAAGATTCATAGATTATCCATAGGGTTAATAGCATTTTCTGCCCCTGTACTATGACGATGTAACAAACATGCCCCTGTACTATTTTTTTGCACAAACGTGCCCCTGTAATATTACATCGTAACGGACCTGCCCTTCCGTTGTAATTTCTGTTTACTCGCCGTTAAAGAGGGCTGTAAATTACCCAATTACCCCTGTTTAATGCCCTCTTACCCCATTTGAAACTCTATTACGGCAAAATTAAGGGTTGCAATTCCCGTAACACAGGAAGCGAAGGAGAATTGCGAAAGCCGACCACCGTTCGTCTTCCTCCTTCGACCAGGGCGACGACCAGTCCGCGGCGTTCTTCTCGGCCGTCGCTTCTTCCCTCCGCGGCGTTCTTCCCGGCCGTCGCTTCTCTGCACTGCTCCCTTCGGCAGTCACCACCAACGCCCTCGAGCGACGTGCACCAGCGCCCACTCCACCAGGCCGACGACCACTCCACCAGGCCGGCGACGCACTCCAGCAGCGAGGACCAGCGACCGACGCACTCCAGCAGCGAGGACCAGGCCGGCGACCACTCCACCAGGCCGGCGACGCACTCCAGCAGCGAGGACCAGCGACCGACGCACTCCAGCAGCGAGGACCAGGCCGGCGACCACTCCACCAGGCCAGCGACGCACTCCAGCAGCGAGGACCAGCGACCGACGTCTAACCCCAACTTAGCAAATTGTTATTGCTCCTTCAGTAGGTAAGAGTCTCTTCTCAACATAATCCCCTTATTTAAACCGCAACTTAGATGAATACGACAAAAATAGGAATTGAATATTGCTTCTTTTCAGGACCACTTACACAAAGTAGATGGATGGTGGAATTAATAATGAAGGTTCTGCAGCGGCTGTTAACGTACACCATGCTGAACAGGTATGATTTTTATGCTTTCATTCATGGTTGGCCGGGTGTGAATGACGTATCAATGATTTCTTTGATGTGAAGTTCTTTCTTTCTTGCAATCGTCCAGGTGGGATTTGCTGGCAACATTCTGAATGAGGCAACAATTGAGGTTGATCAAGAAGAGAACGGAGACTCCGACGACGAGTTTGAGCTGAACGCAGATTGGGTCTCGGATGAAGATATTGCATATAGGGAAGAGATAATATCGAGGGTGAAAAAGGAAAAAGAGAAACTGAAGATCGGAATTCCTGTTACTTATCACCCCGATGATGAGGTTGATAGAAGACATGACCAAGTGGATGGGCAAGAGGGTTTCAGCTCTAGTGATGATGGGAGTTATGATGGAACTGATGAGGATGATGAAGTTGTTGATCATGCAATACACAGAAGAAGCCGTTTTCCACAATTTGATCCAAATTTGGAAACACCATTCTTTGAGCTTGGCATGATTTTCACTAGCATGCCTCAGGCAAAGGAGGTTGTTCGAAAGTATGCTTTGGCTGCCAGAAAAGGTGTGTTGGTGAAGAAAAGTGATCCATCGAGGCTAAGGGTGATTTGTAGGTACAAGGGATGCCCTTTTACATTGTTCGTTTCATGGTGTAAACGGGCTGAAGCATTTCGCATCAAAACACTGAAGGTGCATAGATGCGGACTTCATTTCAAGAACAAATACTGCAGCCCAGCTGTGATTGCAAAGAAGTATCATAGGAGGATAAGAGCACATCCACAGTGGAAGCTCAAGGACATGAGAGAGACGATTAAAGAAGAGATGGGATATGATGTGCATAGGATGACATGTTCACGTGCAAAGAAGATAGTGATGCACTTGACCGAAGGATGCTATAAGGACGAGTACGCACTACTTTGGACTTATGCGGAAGAACTGAAGAGAGCTAACTCGGACACAACTGTCCGTATCATGGTGAATCGAGACAATCCAGAGGGGCTGCCCAAGTTTCAGCGTATGTATATTTGTTTCGGTGCCATGAAAAAAGGTTTTAAAGCCGGATGTAGGAAGATTGTCGCTTTAGATGGTTGCTTTCTTAAGGGTTTGTGCAAAGGAGAGCTACTTGCTGCAGTTGGGAGGGATGCAAATGATCAAATGTACCCCATTGCATGGGCAGTGGTTGAAGTTGAGTCTAGAAGTTCATGGGACTGGTTTCTAAAGGAGTTGAGGGATGATTTAGACATTGATGAAGGTGCTGGTTGGTCCTCCAGTTCAGACCAAATGAAGGTATAATGATGATATTTTTATTGGTAACAGTTTGTTTTTGTTAGTAAAGTGTCCACAGATTATTAACAATAAATTGCATGTTTATAGGGACTAGTACCTGCAATAGCCGAACTCTTCCCACACGCGGAGCATCGCCTATGTGCACGACATATATACAGCAATTGGAGAAAGAAATTCAGGAACCGAGCATGGCAAAAGTTGTTCTGGGCGTGTGCCAAGGCGACAACACCAATATTCTTTGATCGAGCCTTACAGAGGCTGGCAGCAGAGAACAAGGAAGCTGCAGCTGCATTGCTATTAATTGACCCAAGACACTGGTGTCGCAGCTACTTCTCAACGGAGGTTAAGTGTGATTCGGTTGACAATAACATGTCTGAGTCTTTCAATGCCTCCATCTTAGAAGCTAGATTTAAAGCCATATACAGCATGCTGGATGAACTCCGTGTTATGGTTGTAGAGATGGTCGCGACAAAGATGTCATTGGGAGAAAAGTAGTAAAGGCAGCAGACATGAACCTATATTTTGCACTACATATGACAATATTATGGATGGATTATGTTTGTTTCATAAGCATTTTTAACAACCTGCTGTTTTCTGGCTTTTTTTGTATCCTGTGACACAATTATTGACTAAAGAAGTAGTTCATTAAGAGACAAAGATGCATTAACATAACAAGGAACCCCTTAATATCCATTTCATAGAAAGTGATTACAAAGATAGGGAAAATCCATTCTACATCAGCCACTAACTATGACTGCAATGAATAACAAGCAAATTAAAACCAACAAACTCACAATAACAATATACAACATATGCAACTTCTTCACTGAGGTCACACCATTCATTTGCCGCATAATGTCAGTGTGTTCTTCCGCTAAGATTTTGCTTCTTGTACGTAGAATGTCTCTTTCAGCTTCAACTTCTTTCAGTCTTTCTCGAAGAGAAACAATAAGTCCTTTGTAATGTGGAATGTTCAATTTAGGGTCTTGAAACCTGAAAAACTTACAGCCTCCTTCTTCCAAACTCTTCCTACAACGGTAAAACCTTCTCCCCGGATTCGTTTTAGTCCATGAATGCAACCTGATAGCTCTCACTCCACACCAGCAAAACACATCTGCATTGTCGATTCCAGTGCTACCAAATGATGATTGTTGAGAATATGCCATGACCTACAATTCAATCAATTAGGAGCAGATGCCATTACAAAAAGAACATTCTTTGCAGTGCTACTAAACTGCTACTCTCCCCTCTACCTGCTGCTACTGTTCTACTCCATTCTGCAGTGCTAGTATGGCTCGAAAGAGTCCATTGATTCAATGCTGCTGCTACTGTTCTACTTCATCGAGTCCATTGATTTAATTCAATCAGACCCTATCAGGTACTCTTAGGGTTCGAAAGAGTTTCAAAAAAATCAGTGAGCGAGAATCAAGAAAGGAAGATGTACCTCTTGGATTGTTGGACACTTCCGTTGTGATGGACTCGATGACAGAATTAGGAGCTGCAGCGATTGGAACGAGGATGCTTGGCTGGCTCGGTTGGAACGAGGATGCGATTGGAACGAGGTCTCTGCTCAGGCGGAGGGAGACGGCTGTCCAGGAGGGCGCTGGTAGACTCGATGGGTTGCTCGCCGTCGTCGGTAGGAAGGAGAAGGCTTGCTCGAGGGTTCGCTCGCCGTCGCCGGTAGGAAGGAGAAGGCTTTCCAGGGTTCGCTCGCCGTCGTCGGTAGACTCTTCGCTGGTTCCCACGCCGTCGTCGGAAGGAAGACTCGATGGGGAAGAATCGATGGGGAAGACTCTTAGCTGGCATTCGAGGGTCGGGTCGGGCAGTCTCTCTCGTCGAGAAGAGAGGTTTTCTTTCAGAAGTGGAAGAATCGATGGGGAAGGAAATGGGGAGGGCATTAAACAGGGGTAATTGGGTAATTTATAGCCCTCTTTAACGGCGAGTAAACAGAAATTACAACGGAAGGGCAGGTCCGTTACGATGTAATATTTAGGGCTGTTAATCGGTGGCCGGTTTTCCGGTTAACCTCGTAACCGAACCGAAACCGTTGGTTTTTCAGTCGACCGAAAACCGCAATGTCGGTGTCGGTTGGCGGTGTCGGTTGGCAGTCTCCGGCAAATTAGAGAGGGTTGCGGTTATCGGTGAAAACCGAAACCGTGGCGGTTAAACCGAGACAACCGCGTGCCCTTCCATCCCAGAC